TCACCACAAAGTTTGGAAGTGCTATATCCTATCTTCCCAAGCCCCACTCCCCCTTTTTGCCTTAAGGGCACATATGTTCGCCAGAGACCGAGAGAGACAGAAAAAAAGAAATCACCTCCCAACTCCCACAGGGGGATGGCCATGCCACAATCCCTTCTCTTCCTGTCTCCTCCTGGGATTCTGGACACGCACACACACATGCCCAGCATGAGTTTCAAGTCACCAGGTCCGGGACTTGAACTGTGGTCGACTATGTGGGAGTCCAGCAACATACCATTATGCCATCTGCTGGCCCCAAGCCCCTTGTTACTAGGGTGGTCCTGTGACTCAGCCTTGACCAAAGAGACCCAAGTGGGGAAGTATAGGAGGCATCTGGGAAAGTCTTCTTTGAAACATCCTCGGAGATACTGTTGGCCTGCCCTTTCCCCACTTCTTCCAGTCTTCACTGCAGATGTTGTAGCACCCTTCCTGCAACCATGAGGGTGGAAGATTGAGAGAACTGCAGAAAACTCTGGCTTTGACATTGTTGAGTCAATGAACAGGTAGTTTAAGCTGCTGTCAACTGAATACTGACATCAAATTCTGACTCCACTGATCTGTGCTGTGTAACCTTGGGCTGGTTATTTCTGTTCTGGTTACTAATAACTTTTGTCCTGTACCTAATTTTCCTTACCTATGAAATGGTGCTACCTTACAGAACCAATATCAAGGGATGGTCTGCAGTATATACCTAAGATGCACCTTTCTTAGGTATATAAATGGAAGGTGGTGCTGGCTGAAGTGTGAGGGCAGAGTGGCTGTGAAAAGTGAGAGCTGAGTCATCTGTGGCCTTGTAATTAAGGCAGCTGGATTCCACATAGCTGACTGCATGGTTCGAGTCCCAGACCTGGTAGCTTGACAAACATGCTGGGTGTGTGTGCATGCATACCCAAAATCCCAAAAGGAGGAGAGGTAGAAGAAAAGGGATTGCTGTGTGATCATTTCTCATGGAGGGCTGGCTGATTTCTCCTCTCTGGCAAAGGCACAAACCTTCTAGCAAAAAAAAAAAAAAAAAGAGAATCAACATAAAGGAAAAAATGAGCCCAGAAGAGAACCAACATAAAGGAAAAAATTAGCCCAGAAAAACAAACTCAGGACATCAACAGGTTTTTTTTTTTTCTTTTTTTGGGAGAGGTTTTTGCTATAGGGCGCGTGCACTCGCCAGACAGAGACAGACAGAGAGACAGAAAGCGAGAAATCACCCCCCAGGGGTGATGGCCACACCGCAATCCCTTCTCCTCTATTCTCCTCTCAGGATCTTGGGCACGCACACGCGCCCGGCGTTGAGTTTAAGCCACCGGGTCTGGGACTCGAACTGCAGTCAACTACGTGGGAGTCCAGCGACATAGCCATTATGCTAACTGCTGGTCCCAGGACATCAACAGGATCTTGAAGAAACTCTAAAAATGAACCACAAAACTTGTCCGCAAGCACCCTGCAAGCCACAAGCCAGCAGTATTCTAAAAGAAACCCTAACAGTTATGACAGTCCCAGCATCCAAAGAACAGAAATGGACATGGACAAGGAAGCTCTGCAGCAGCTAAACCATCTGATACAACAGTGATTAGTGCTGTTGTTGTATTGTCCAGGATGGTCGTTATTCCATTCAACTCTATATGCCTTGCCAATTCAAAATTCCTTCTGTAGTTTATTTTAAGGGACCCATTTTTGCCTTCTGAGATATGTCATGATCAATTTTTCTTCCAATTATTGATGTTGATGATATGTTTAATTTCATTAGACCACAACTGCAGTGGAAATACCAGACAAAAGAATGACCTGGTTGAAGCTGTATGTTAACAGGCAGCTGTTCTGTAAAGTTGGAGCATATGACTTAGTGTCCTTCTGGAACAGGCATTTGGCTGTAGCTATGGCTTCTAAACAGATTACGATTTGTTTAGCTTAGAAAGTTGGCAGGTTTAACTCCCTGGTTTTTATATCCCTTGTACTTTGTTTTCCTCAGGGAAACTTGGAGAAAAGCAATACAATAATGAAAGTGAAACTTCTCACTGTGGGTATTAAAATGTTCTTGTTAGAATGTCCTGCTTTGTATAAAATTGAAGTGTTGCTTTTCCTGGTAGTGACAGCTGACATAGAGGTCTTCCAGTGGTTCCCAGCAGAGGCCCAACACAGTTGGGAGAGAGGAGCTTTGAGAACAGCAGGAGTCACATGACCTCACATAGCTCCTCAGCATAGTCCCATGGCTTGATGACGAATAGGATGTCATTCCACCAGGCTAAAGGAGGAGGGTGTAATTGATTGGCAGCCTTGGGTGGGGACAAAATCTAGGTTATTTTGGTTTTGTTTCCAACAAATAAACTAAAAAAGAAAGTATGAGATTAAAAGAGATTTAAGAAAGAAATATATCAAACAAATGCACTGTGTGGATCTTATTTTGATAATGATTAGACCAACAAAGAAAACAAAGCAAAATTAATGAAGCAATCAGGAACATCTGAACACTAGATATTTGATAATATCTGTTTAGATGTGAGATCTGTTGAGATTTAATAAAATTAGTAATTTTCTTTGTTTCACCTCAGACATTAAGTGAAATGAATATTTTTGAAGTCGGGAAAAATATATACAATGACCCTGGGGCCACTGCTTTCATTTGAACTCAGGCCTGATGGGGTTACCCACTGATGCCTTTGCATCACCAGAGCAAACAGCAACACAGCAAAAGAGGCAATCTATGTCTTAGGGTAATTATTAAAATGGTTTTGTGAATCAATACAATAATGTGTGAGTGGTGTGTGTGTGTGTGTGTGTGTGTATGTATATATATATAGTTGCTATATTGAGTTGTTGAAAAAGTCATGATGCATTTTTGCATAGAAAAAATACGTCATGACTTTTCTGACAGCCCAATATATAGTCATATATATTTAAAAGTCCTTGCCTCTTTATATATTCAGAAATATAGACCAATGTGAAAATAATCCAGTGGTAGGAGAGGAGTGGAGGAGGGGCAGAAATACCAGTGAAAATATACTATTCATGTTTTAAAATGTCTACAATAAATATTAAAAGATTATTCAGAAAAGCAATGGATTTTCTTCTTTATACTAACTATGAATACTGAAAAATGGTGAAGAATTTAGTAAAAAGCACGTTGTGTATAAACTAGCTAATGATACCATGTGTTGAAGTCAGACTTGTACAATTGTCAGTACAGTACCGAATGATCAACTTACAGAGGTCAGAAAATGTTGACTACAGTGCTACCTTTGTTTTAAAGGGCTTTTATATCTTGCTACTATGGACATTTGTGACTAGATAATTCTTTGTTGAGGAACCAACCTGGGCGCTAAAAGATACTGAGCAGTGCCCCTGGCCTCCACCCACTAGAAGCCAATGGCACCCTTTCCCCAGTCACAGCCACCAAAAATGTCTCCAGACATCACCAAATATCCCCTGGGGGAAAAACTGCCTTAGTTCTCAATTGGCTTATAGGACAGTTCTGAGGCAGTGGTTTTTAAAAGGAGCTTTGATACCTCCTCCAGTGTCTTAAGAATTTTGCAGGGATTTTGTCATGATTTGGGTGTGTGGGGGGGTGGTGGTTAAAATATAGACAGGATGGGATCAGCAAATGGTGTAATAGTTATATTGCTGGACTCCCCAATGGGTGACTGTGGCTTGAGCCCCATAACCTGGAGGCTGGCAACATGTCAGGTGTGTGTGCATACATGCCCAAGATCCCAAGAGGAGAATGTAGGAGAAGGGACTGTGGTGTGGCCATCCTCCCTGGAGGTGATTTCTCACTTTCTGTCTCTCTGGAGAGTGCACATGCCCTAGAGCAAAATAACTCTCTCTAAAAAAGAAAAAAACATGGGCAGGAACCAAGTATGCTACAATGACCTCAAAGTGCAGCACCGGCCCCGGTGGACCATGTATGTGGGCATGAAACAACCTGCTTGCAATACATGAATTGAGATTCTAACTAAGTGATACATGCTGGGAATTTACATATAAACACAAACTAAATGATGCATGCTGGGAATTTACACAGAACTTTCGAGATATGCAGTGGCATTTTGCTGTGTTGAAACCTTTTCCAAAAGTTCATCACTACTTTGGAAAATCACATCCTGTACAGAAATGGCCTTCACAGTATCCCCTCGGCCAATAGCATACCCCATAACAGTCTGAAAGTGATAAGGTATTGCTCTCTTGGTTTCTGGGTTAGCTGAGTCTACACTCTGCTGGTGAGAGCCCAAGAGGAGAATGTAGGAGAAGGGACTGTGGTGTGGCCATCCTCCCTGGAGGTGATTTCTCACTTTCTGTCTCTCTGGAGAGTGCACATGCCCTAGAGCAAAATAACTCTCTCTAAAAAAGAAAAAAACATGGGCAGGAACCAAGTATGCTACAATGACCTCAAAGTGCAGCACCGGCCCCGGTGGACCATGTATGTGGGCATGAAACAACCTGCTTGCAATACATGAATTGAGATTCTAACTAAGTGATACATGCTGGGAATTTACATATAAACACAAACTAAATGATGCATGCTGGGAATTTACACAGAACTTTCGAGATATGCAGTGGCATTTTGCTGTGTTGAAACCTTTTCCAAAAGTTCATCACTACTTTGGAAAATCACATCCTGTACAGAAATGGCCTTCACAGTATCCCCTCGGCCAATAGCATACCCCATAACAGTCTGAAAGTGATAAGGTATTGCTCTCTTGGTTTCTGGGTTAGCTGAGTCTACACTCTGCTGGTGAGAGCCACAGCAGTTCAGTACACATCATCACAAATTATTTTAATTATCCTTTACAATACAGGACTACTTTTTTTTTTTTTTTTTTTTTTTTTTTTTTTAAGTTTTGTTATAGGGTGCATGCACTTGGAGACAGAGAGAGTCGGAAAGTAAGAAATCACTCCCTGGGCGATGGCTACACCATAATCCTTCCTCCTTTATTCTCCTCCGAGAATTTTGGGCATGCACACACATGTGCTCAACATGTTCTTGAAGCTGCTGGGTCCAGGGCTTGAAATTCACAGTAGGCCATGTGAGATCCAGCTGCCTTAACCATACCATGTCATGGGCTGACATAGGGCTGTATATTGATTTTTGACATTATACATGTAGGGAGGTTACATTATCACTGCACTCATTTGGGAGCACTGGAAGGAACATTTCAAAATGATGGTTGTTAAAGGGGACACTGATTTGGGAGCCACTTATCTCAGGTATTTGGGAAACACCATTTCCTTAGAAAGTCAGAGGTCACCACTAGCATTTATAGCCCAAGCTTTTTCCATGAACATACTACGCAGACTTACCACACTCTTCTACCTGTGGTTCAAAATCATCTGCAGAGTTTCACTCCTATGTGGATTTTCTGATGTCAAATAACATGGAAGTGTCCATAGAAGTCTCTTCCACCCCAATAACACGCACAGGGTTTTTCTCTTGGATGATCTCATGGATGTCAAACAAGGCCAGGGCTTTGCTTGCTGACTGTCCTGCCTTTGCCCGGCCTGCAGTGTTCTCTTCTGAATTTGAGTACTGATGCTGGGTGAGATGCGAGCTCCTACCACAAGATTGCTCACGGCGCCGGTTTCGTCCACGGGGCTCTTCTCTGGTGTGTGTTATCTGATGACGGATGAGGTGGGAGCTCTGGATGAAACATTTCCCACACTGGTTACATTTAAAGGGCCTGTCACTCCGAGGAGTCCTCTCATCTTGACTCAAAGGTGGGTCACAGCTGAGGGCTTCCACCCATTCGTGCTTTGTTAAAGCTGGTGTCTGAGCAAAGATCAGCCTCTGGTGGCACTCATAAGGCTTCTCCCCAGCATGCTTCCGCTGATGCTGGGCCAGAGAGGAACTGTGCCTGAAGCCCTTCCCACAATAGTTACACTCATAAGGCCTCTCCTCAGTGTGAGTTCTCAAGTGCAGAAATAGGCAAGTGGTTCGAGAGAAGGACTTCCCACACACACTGCAGCTATACGGCTTCTCTCCAGTGTGTGTCCTCTTGTGCCGGCCCAAGGAGGAGTTCTGGTTGAAGGCCCTTCCACAGTCCTGACACTCATAGGGTTTCTCGCCGGTATGAATTCTTCGATGGACAGTAAGGTGTGTACTATGGCAGAAAGATTTCCCACATTCAGCACATTTATAGGGTTTGTCTCCCGTGTGGATTCGCTCATGTTGAACAAGTGAGGAGTTTTGGCTGAAGGCTTTCCCACACTCTTTGCACATGTAAGGTCTCTCTCCTGTATGAATCCTCTTGTGTACTGTGAGATGCGCATTATGGTTGAATGACTTCCCACAGTCGGTACATTTGTAGGGTTTATCCTGCACTTGGCTTCTCGCAAGTTCCATAACAGGGACAGCCCTATTGGAAGCATGATACTCACCATGTTCACAGGATTGTTTTCCTGCAGAATCTGTTTGCACACTGACTGAGCTATGTTCTGAGTTTGTGACCTGTGAGTTGTAAATACAGAAATATTCTTTCTTAGAATCCTCTAGGAAAAGGTTTGGGTTTGAATTCAAGGCACAGTCTTCCCCAAATCTAAGACTTCTGTATCTTTGATCTTGAACTGGTGATTCCTTGAGGCCAAATTCCAGTTGTCTCAAGTTACTCTGGTCCTTCTTGAGTGTCTGGCTCTGGCTCTCACATTTCCAGCCTTCCCCAAACATGGAGGGACAAGCAGCATCCCTTTTCATGACATAGGATGGCTCCTCTTCAGGATAGCCCTGCTCTTTGGGCAAAATTTGGCATTCAGGTTTAGGCTCCCAGCCTGAAAGAAAATCAGAGAGCTCTGAGTGGTTGGGAGATAAAACAAGGAAGAGCGCTGCCTCTTATACCTCGGAACCTAATGTCTCGCACTGGCAAGCCCTGGATTTTCCTTTTATTTGATACCAAGTGCCTTGCTTCTAATATGGCTTCACTCATTTAATGAGTATTTATTGAGCACCTGTTGTAGACCAGGCACTGGCAGTAGAGCTAAGGTATATTAGTTTCCTTAGTTGCTGCTATAACAATGTAGCACAAACTCAGTGCCTTAAAACGCCACACACTTGGAGGCCAGTAGGTGGTGTGGAGGTCAAGGCGCAGGATCACATATGCCAACTATGTGGTCTTGGGTTTAGCTAGACCTAAACCCAGCAGCTTGAAAGTAATGCTAGATGCATGTGCACCCAAAATTCCTAGAGAGAAGGGATTGTGGTGTAACAACCCCCTGAGGGGTGATTTCTCACTTTCTTTCTTGGAGAGCCCCCTATAGCAAAAACTGGAAAACAAAAACAAAAACAAAAACAAAATCTCACTCACCCACACTTACTATCTTAAAATTCAAGAATGCATAAGTCCAGAAATTAAGATCTACAGAGTTGGCTCCTCCTAGAGACTCCTTGCTTCCTCTAGTTCTTCAGAGGCCTCTTGTACTCCTTGGCCTTTTCATCTCAGAGCCAGCAGCACAGCACCCTCACATCTCTTAATGCCTCTACTTCTTTTTACCTTCCTTCTTTCTTTTTTTTTTTTAGAGAGGTTTTTACTATAGGGTGCATGCGCTCACCGAAAAGACAGAGAGAGATAGACAGAAAGTGAGAAATCACCCCGGGGGAGGATGGTCATCCGCAATCCCTTCTCCTCCATTCTTTTCTTGGGATCTTGGGCACGCACGCACATGCACCCAGCATGAGTTTAAGTCACCAAATCCGGGACTCGAACCGTGGTCGACTACATGGGAGTCCAGCGACATAGCCATTATGCCAACTACTGGTCCTATCGATGACTTCACTTCTGACATCACATCTCTTTTTCTTTTCTTTTTTTAAAATTTTATTTATTTATTATCATTCTTCAATTTGATGAGAGAGAGACAAGGACAGAGAGAAAGAGAGAGAAAGCAAGCCGCCAAGTCTGGGACTTGAATTGTGGTCAGCCATGTGGGAGTCCAGTGCCTTAATTTTCACAACTCCTGCCAGCCCCTGTCAAATCTTTTTCTGAAACAGACCCTCTTGCCTCTTCCTCACAATGACTGTTGGGATTACATAGGCCATTTACTACGACAGACTAACTGGTTCTAGGGATTGCTCCAGTTTTGCTCATCATACACACATATTCATTTGTTCAGGGTCCATCTTGAGATATTGGTGTCTATGGCCAGTGCCTAGAGGAGGCATGTAGCAGGTGTTCAGACAGTATCTCAGCATGGATGCTGGAACGACTAACTTGAGAATGAATGACTAGGAGTTCAGCCAGGGAAGAAGTACTGGAAGAGGTGGGGCTTCCAGGTGCCAGGGACCCTGCTCTCCCTCACCTCTGGCCCTCAAATTTGAGTCTCTGCACAGCACTCAGAGGAGTCTTACAAGACTTACAAAGTCAGTACATAAAAAAACTTGTGCACACATGCTCACAATAGCGCTACTTGTAAAAGCTAGAAGGTAGACGGGGACCAGCAATTAGTGTAATGGCTATGTTGCTGGACTCCCACGTAGTCGACTGCAGTTCGAGTCCCGGACCCATGGCTTAAAACTCACACCAAGCGCGTGTGCATATGTGCGCAAGATCCCGAGAGGAGAATGGAGAAGGGATTGCGGCTTGGCCATCCCCTCTGGGGGGTGATTTCTCGCTTTCTAGCTCTGTCTCTCTTGGTCTAGCGAACGCACGTACTCTATAGCAAAAACCTCTCAAAAAAAAAAAAAAAAAAGCCAAAAGGTAGAAATAACCCAAAAAGCCCATCAACTGATGAATGAACAAAAAGTGGTCTATAAACGTAATGGAATACCATTCAGCCATAAAAAGGAACCAAAATATACACAAAGGCGCCTTAAAAACGTAAGGCTTGGGACCAACAGAATGTGTAAAGGTTGTGTCACTGGGCTCCCATGTAGCTGACTGTGGTTTGAGTCCTGGACCGGGCGGCTTGAAATGCCGGGCACATGTGCTCAAGATCCTGGAAGGAGAATGGAGAAAGGATTGTAGTGTGGTCATTCTCCCTTGCTTTCTGTCTCTTTGGCTCTCTCTATCTCTGTCTCTCTGGTGAGCGCACATGATCTATAGCAAATATTCTCTTAAAACAACAAAAAACAAACAAACAAACAAACAAACAAACAAAACCCCAGGGGCCAGCAAGTGGCATGGTAGTGAAGGCGGCTGGATTCCTACATGGTTGACTTGTTCAAGTCCCGGATCTGGCAGCTTGTTTTCTCACTTTCATTCTCTCTGTCTGTCTCTGGTCAACTTCAATAAAATAAAATAAAAATAAAATAATGACAATGAATAAAATAATTTTAAAAACCCAAGAAACAAAAAACATAAGGCTTAAAGGACAAACATCACTATTCCAATTATATATATAAAGTAGATTAGTGGTTGCCAGGGGCTGGGGAAGATAGGAAGTGACTGCTAATAGACAATTGCTGGAGTGTGCTAGGGACTGAATGTGTCCTCCCTAAACTCATGTTTTTTTAATTGCCAAGAGAGTACAGGAGCTTGCCAGAGAGAGGGCATGCATTCATGTATACCTAATGGCACGCGGTCATGTTGCAATCCTTTTTTCTTTCTCTACCCCATTAAGATTTGGGGCACATGTGCCTAGCATGTTTTTCAAGCCACTGGGGCTGGGATTTGAATCACAACTGGCCAATGAAGGATGTGGCTTTCCATGCACAGCACTTAACCACTGTGTTATGGGCCGGTCCCCAAAACCCGTGTTCAAACCCTAATCTCCATGTAATGGTATTTGGAGATTGAGCCTTTGGGAAGGTGATTAGCTCATGATGGAATCAGTGTCCTTAGAAGAGGACAACAAATAGCCTGTATCCTCTCTTTGCTCCCATAAGGACAGAGAGATAAAATAGCTGTCTGCAAAGAAGGAAGGAGCTCTCATCAGGAACCAAATGACCTGCCACATCGATCTTGAACCTTTATCCTCCAGAACTATGAGAATAAATGTCTGTTGCTTAAGCCACCTTGGCTGTGGTATTTTGTTATAGCAACCCAAACTAAGACAGTGATGAAAAGTTCTGGAACTATGGTGTGATTAATGCACGATTCATGAATATATACAAAACCCTTGAATTTACCCTTTAAATAAGTGAATTTTATGGCATGTAGGATCATTATCTCAATAAAGCTGTCACAAAAGAACAGACCAGCCCTCTTTCTCACAGTCACCCCTAGTTATTTCTCCGTTCCCCTCCAAGTCAATTCTGATGTCTGACATGACCCTGTGTTCTCCTCCCCTGCACCCTTATTCTTGTTGTTGACCTCACCTCCTGCTTGTCACCCTCTAACTCACTGTACCCCACTGACTTCCTCACTACCCTCTCAAATGTGCCCCATGCTCCTTCCTCATGCTGATCTCTCTGCCTAGAACCCCCTCCCCCAATATCTGCCTGCCTCATCACTCTCTCAGAACCTTGCTCAGTGTTATCTTTTCAAAGAAGCCTCCCACTGAGTTCAGTATTTGGGAAGCCATGGTGTCCTTGCCCAGAAAGGGTAATCAGCTGAAGGAAAGAAAAACTCAGAGAAGATGGACTGCAAATGTAAATAAATTAAGGATCTTCAAATGGGAGATTATCTTTGGACCCTAAATCTCATCAAAAGAGTCCATAAAAGAATGAGGGAGGAGAATCCAAATCAGAGAAAGGGATGTGAGGATGGAAGCAGAGCAGAGGTCAGAGTGATGTGATGGAAGCAGAGGTCAGAGTGATGTGCTTTGAAAATGAAGAAGAGGTCTAGGAGCCAAAGAATGTGACAACTTCCATAGGCTGGAAAAGACAAGGAAAGAGATTCTATCTCGAGCTTCCAAGAGGAACCAGTTTTGACTAACCATTTTGGCCTTCACAATTGTATGAAAATAAATCTGTATTTTTTCCTCAGGCTACCTAGATTGCAGTACTTGATTACAACCAAGATAGGAAACCAATGCTAAATAGTATATGGAAAATACATTTGTGTTTTAACATAAAGTCCTAAAAGCCTTTGCCTCTAGAGTAACTGTCTGAAAGCCAAATTCTTAAAACAGTTTGTCCATTGCTATTTTGACCCCATACTCCCAATCTGTGAGGACATTTATAATTAAACTTAGTACTTATGTGCACACACATGATTTTAGATCCTGAATTTAGTTACAGCATAAAGTATTGATATAAGACCTATAAGTTAAGGATACATGTCTAAGACAATGAGGCTTTGCTTTCAACACACAGGTCTAAAGTAATGGTGGTGACAACCAGCAAGAGACAGGAATACAGGACCTGCTATAGATTCACTCTCCTACCCCAGGGAGACAGGTCATACCTTATTATGGAGGTGCATATACTTCCTATGGGAGCAGAAAGCCCTGGGTAGCATAAAAATACTTGTTAGGAAGCTGATCTGCAAACACTCCTGGGGTGCATCCCATAGCCATACTCTTTCTTTCAGAATGTGGTCAGGGCACCCTTGTACCAGTCCCAGGGAAGAGATCACAACATATTTAAGCAAATTATGATAACCTAAAACCCTCCCTCCCAGCCTCCCTAGCAACTAGAGTCAAGTCAGGTGGAAGTGACCTAGTCCTGACCAGAGATTTCAATGGACGGACAATAGCTGGAATTCTGATAAAAGGAGACAGATGTTGGGACCAGCAGATCGCATAATGGTTATGTTCTTGGACTCCCACTTAGTTGACCCCAGCCTGAGTCCTGGACCCAGTGGCTTAAAACTCACACCAGGAATGGGTGCATGTGTATCCAAAATCCCAAGAGGAGACTGGAGAGGGGACTGTGATGTGACCATCCCCCTGGGGTGGGGGGTAATTTCTCACTTTCTGACTCTCTGGTGAGCACATGTGCCCTACCTGGAGCAGATGTAACAGCTGAAGTTGCCAAAGCCATAATATAACCCTGAGTTTCCATCTGGCATCTCTGATCTGCTTCAGGGTTCCTGTTTTGTGAGAAAAATGGTTCCCTCTTTTTGAGCTGCTCTAGTCTGATTTTAAAATATTTACAGGTGAATGCTATCCTTACTGATAATAGAAGGGTCTGGAAAACAGGCTTACAGAAGCTGGACATGCAAGAACTAAATGGAGAATATGAAGGGCAGGTTCATTTATGAGAAATGATCCCATAGAAAGGGTTCACTGAGAGGGCTGGTGAAAAGGAACAATCTAGAAAGGAAGATAGGACAGAGGGAAGGGGTGGATCCCAACTCAGAGGCAGAGAAGTACAGATGAGAAGGCTATGGAGTTCTATGCACAAAAAGTTAACAGTATAGACCTGAGACACCATTCTTAGGAAGGCCTGCTTCTTAGGTCGGCCCAGAGCTGTGCCTGGAACTTGGATTTCAAAACTGTTCCCACCACCCTACCTGGTAAGAATGGTCCACTGCAACCATGCTGTCTGTACAAGTGATGTGATTTATTCTGAATGCTGGCTTTCTCCTAGAAGTCTACAATCTTAGCTTCTTCTAGGCAGAGGGTGCCTACCAGCCCCCAGTAAAAACTCTTGGCACTGTGTCTAGACAGGTTTCCTGGTAGAAAACACTTCTCACATGTCACATAACTCCCTGCTGGAGGACCAGGGACATTCTGGATGACTCCACAGTAGAGGGTTTTGGAAGCTTGTGCCTGGTTTCCTCTGGAACATTGCTTCATGCTCCTTTTCCCTTTGCAGGTTTTTCTCTTTATCATTTCACTATAATCAGTCACAGCTGCGAAAACAACGCTGTGCTGAGTCCTAAATTAGTAAAGGCAGTGGGCTGGGAATCTTAATATGCCACTCTTTCTAGGCAGTACAGCTACAAAAACCTGCATTGTTCTCATTAGGAGCTCTCACTTGGAGGGTTCTTACCTAGACAGTGTCCCTGGGCAATTCTTCTCTCTGACACCCATAGCTCAGCCCCTTGCTCCAGCTGGGAGATGACTTCAGGTTTGGGAAGATCAGGCCCTAGAAACAGGAAGAGAAAGGACATGGGGGTTTGTCTTCAGAGAAAGAACCAGCTCAAACTTCAGCCCATACTCTGGTCATCAAAATGCACAACATGCCTTGTGGGAAGCTGCACACCAGCGAGTCTGCCGAGGTTTCTCAGAGAGCAATTACCATGATTGGTTCCCTTCCAAAAACCTGACTGGAGGAGTCCGACCCGGCGGGGCTCCAGGACCCGTCTGAGCCCCTTGACCTTTGAGCATCGCTTCCGGTCGGTTCAGTGAGCTGGCAAGGCCGCGACTGTACGCCCCCCGACCATGGAACAAGCTTGGCTCACTTAGCTTGTTGGCAAGGCCGCCTGCTATTCGCTCCGGGACTGTGATAGCCTTGCTGGGAAGTGACCCCCCTCTGACTCCCCGATATATTACTATAAAAGAATTACATAGTTTTCCCATACATATTTGTAGCAAGATTTCTCCAAAATTCCCCGACCGCTCCCCTTTACCCTGACCATTTACTGTTAATTACAACGCTTCATTGGGCACAATAAAGGGTGTGCTAAAGTTCTTCTTGATTGTTGGAAGGCCTTTCAAAACACATTTATATAAACTTAAAAATTACCTCTTAAGCAGAAAC